TGAATTTCACAAGCCATGGTGTTCCACCGGTCGTAGAATCCTGTAAATGTCTCGCCTTCCCCTTGCGTGTACTTGACGAGCGTTGAAACTGTAAGCTTTCGGCGGATTGGAAGGTGAACTTTGATGAGAACAGCGTGGCAAATTGCTCAAAGTTATCGATAATCCCTTCTGGGAGCGACGTGTACCATGTTCTGCATCTTCCCCCAAAGGTTGCAAGGAAAGCCTTGCACAAGTCTGCGTCTGACGTGTTGATCAGCTGCATTTTCAGAGTGAAGGCGCTCAGGTTGTCGCTCGGGTCCGTGATTTCGTTGTATGTGGGTAGCCCGAGCAAGGAGAAGTTGGGGGGAACTAGGTTCCTGAACAGTTTCTTCGACAATGGGTGTGCAGGATACTTGCCCCTTTTTCTCTTCCACTTCCTTTTTCCAAGCTTGACTGCAGGTGTTCTTCAAGGAAGGTTAGGTCGATCTCGGGTCTGCTGCTTTCCATCTTTTCGTCCTTTGGGTCCTCGATAACGACCATTTTTTTCTTTCCTCTGTCCCTTTGCTCGCCAAACGTCCCTGAAGGGGCCTCTTGCTCCCTCATCCCTTCCTTAATCAGGGAAAGGGTCTGGTTGATGTTGCTTTGAATTTCTGTGATCTGTTTTCCGTGGCCCTTGACTCTGTCTTCTAGTTCCATTTCGCTCTCCACTTCGGGTGACAGCCCCCGCAACGCTTGAGGTTCCATGACTCCCTTCAATGGTGTGGTGGAATCTCCCGCCATTATAGAAGAAGTCTGTGATCTCTTCAAATGGCCCTACGGTGGGTGCCAAATTGTTTAAGCCTGGAATGTTCCAAGCGGGATTGTGGGAGCCTTTGCTGAGATCACGCCTCCCTTGCAATGCGGTTGTCTCCTCCTGCAGAACGGATCCGGAGGCGGGCCTCGGATCACTCTCCAATGGTCAAGTTAGTCTTTAGAGATAGAAAGTAGAATGTAGAGAGATGTTGAGTGTTGGTAATTTACCATTAAATGATGTAGGTGAGTGATATTTAATTATTTATAGTCGAGGATGTGTGAGCATTTAATGCTCTGTTGTGCATGTACTGGTAATTTCCTTCCCAAGGCTGCGCATGTGGTTGCATTTAATGTTATGTCAGGCTGCATGATCAGGTCTACAGTTGTCCCATCAATCGTATTGTCCATATTCTGCTTTCGGCTTCTCGGTTGTCTTGTCTTTTCGTAACGCCTCGCGTACCTAGGGGTGTTTCGATGGGCTCCGACTGAGCTTATTGGGTCGAGTAGGGTTGTATGGGTTGAGTTGGGTTGCATGGGCCGAGGTTTAGGAAGTAGCCCTAATTAGCCCAATAGTATCTAACAAGACTCTATATATTTTATTCATATCCACAAAAATAAGTAAATATGAGAATTTGTATTAAACTTTTGTTTTTTTTTTTCAGCCTGGAGAAGTCAGATGTCACTTTTGGCTCAAATGTTAAGCCTTACCAGAAATCGGGGAAGCTTTGGCTGTCGAATTTGGACTACAGTTGACTCGGCAACGTCAGTTGGGAATACCAGCTCTGGAAACGGACTGTTCGTAAGTGGTTAAGGCGGTTCAGGAAGCGGATGGGATACATACATAGCTTGGAACGATCTGCAGAAGTATTAGGCGAGTTCTTGTGACCATACCAGGAGGGAAGATAACCCACGTAAGTCGGCATGCTAACAATGCAGCACATGTAATGGCTCATTCAGAGACTAGAGGGAACTAGATGGAGGTTTGGTTTGACCGCCCGCCGATCTTCTTCATTGATCAACTGAAACTTGATGATGTAACAGTGCTGATTAATCAATGAAGTTATGAGCAAGTTTCTATAAAAAAAATTGTTGGCGTCGAGTAATCTAAGCATAAATGTCAGTCTTTTTCCCATCTCACATCAAACAACAACGATTAATATTCAAAATATAACTCGATTGAATATCGAGTGATGGTGTGTCATCCACAATTTAATTCCTGCTTTAATCACCCCTCCAAAATCAGAAATTCGCTCTCGGTCCTTGTACAAGCGCTCCTGGAATCCCTGCAGAACTACCTGCCAAAAGTCGATCTCTAAGGTGGCCATCCGATGTCCAATTCGGTAACCGGCCAAGACTAGGGAGGGAGTTAAGGTTGCATCGATCTATCGAGTGAACGAGGATGTCATGACTAGTATCACTAGGTTAGTTCAAGTTGTCAATGGGCTTGCTCTGTCTAGGCCTTGGTACTATTAGAGATGACAATCAAACTCATGGTCGTGGGTATCCGAATGACCCCGACCCAGTTAATGCGGAGAATCCCCGTTTTGATTGGATATGGGGCGGGTAAGGGTATCCGAACGACCCCGACCCGCAAAAAGTTTCATGGGTATGGTTTTAGCATCCTCCGCCCCATACTCATACCCATACCCGCCCCACCAAGAGAATATCTTCACATATAAAAAATATATGGATCAAAGTGTAACTTATCATTGATAATAAATATAACTCGAGAAAATAAATTGTAAAAATACAATTGATTGACCACCCTAATCAAAACCTAATTCATTTCCCCCAATTCTCCTTTCACTCTTTCATTTTCCCTCTTGTAAACAAGATTATATTAGTGAACTATTACTTAGTAGATGTATCAGAGTTAGAAAACATAATAATTTGGAAAATATTGTACACTATATTATGTATTAATGGATGTTTTTGGATCATATTATTTGAAACGTATTAAAAAAATGACCCTGTTTTTGTTGACTTAATCCTATAATAGCTTCATTTGGTTTTATAATTAAAAAATTTCTTGGGAAGTTTTAGGTATAATAATGTTGGATGTACGGGGCGAGTATTACTCAGAGGTACCCGAAACCATGAGTATGGGGGGTGAGTTAGCAAAATATTTTCCCGAATGGGTATGAGATGGGTATATGGATCTGGATATTTGGAAACGGAGATGAGGATGGTTTAGGCAAACCCGCCCCATTATCATCTCTAGGTACCATGGGTTTATTTTGACACAATCGTGAACTCAAGATCGAGTATGTTACTCTGAAGTCTCGAGTGTGAGGATACTCCTAATGAAATAGTGAAGATGTTGTAAGTGTTCCCTCCAAAAAACTAGAGTCTCTAGCTCAATATGGAGACAACTGTCTTATGATAAAACTAGAGTCTCTAACTCAATATGGAGATAACTGTCGTACGATACATAATCCTGAACGTTGAGAACTAGAGTCTCTAACTCAATATGGAGATAACTGTCGTACAATACATAATCCTGAATGTTGAGAGTCGCCATGATAGAGTCCTGAAACCCCGACTAGGGTTCTACTAGATACCATGCATACACTCTTGATAGAGGTTCTGCAACCACCTCCCTTCCTCCAATAATGGAATTTAAGAGAGCAAGGAGTTTTGGTGTTTGGTGGATTCCGACTCTAGCTCTAGGATATGGCCATAAGACGGTGGCCGATGGAGACTAGATTAAATGAAACATTGACCCACTGCCCACCGGACCCTCTTCCCGTTTGCAGGAAAAAGCTAATCCATCGACATAGGCGTCGGTTTGGTGGTCAACTTTCATTATTTAAATGTGTTAATTGTAAGGTTGGTCACTGGAATTACTAAAAACGTTCACGTTTGGTCACTAAAAATATTTAATTCCAATCGTGGTCACTAACTTTATATATTCGTTTCACCAATGGTCACTCTCCGTTAACTTCATCCTAGGTGGCAGTCAACTCTCAAAGTTGACCGTTAAATGTGTGACGTGGCAATAAAACATTAATAAAAAATAAAATATTTTCAAATTTCCACCTCATTGTCAAAATTATACAAAAAATGAAAAATGAAAACTATTTTGTTAGATCTTCGCCAGTCGCCACCGCTACAACAACTAGTACCCCGCAGCCGCGTCCCCTGGCCTTTGAGAAGCTCAAGACTGGCCGGATCTGCCTCTCCTTAGTTTATTCCGGCAAGAGGGTAGCGGCAGCGAGAGAAGGTGTTGTGGGTTACTTCCAACGAGAAGCTGAAGACTAGCCAGAGCGCTGATTTTCAAGTTCATCTGAAGACGAGCCAATCAAGACCAGATCAACGACTAGGAGGACAAGGAGGAGCTCGAAGCGGTGGCTGAGGTTCTGTACGCAGCACCTAGTGGAGGAGTAGAAAGTTGAAGCGGATCTGCCTTTCCCTTGTTTTAATCTGGCGAGACGCACCGACAGCGGGAGAAGAAAATGTGCCCCCAATTGGACCTCGGAAGGGAGAATCAATTGGGAAGAAAGAAGGTGATGCAGGTTAGTCAAACGAGAAGCAAGTTATAATACAATCAACTAACTTCATATTAAAGTTGGTAGAATACTGAATACATAAAATCCAAGCAATGGAACAAAGAAATTACTATTGTTGTCTGTTGAAGCGAGCTAGGGAAGTGTAGGAAGCCATGGCTGCAAAGAGACGACGGAGGGAGGCAACTGGAAGAGTAATGGATGGAAATTAAATGAGTGACGGTAGGATGACCTACGTACAGAACTTGAAGCGCTCCGGCCAGCCTTCAGCTTCTCCACGGCTAGGGACTCGGTGGCGGGGCCCTAGTGGTTGCAGCGGCAGGGAGGATTAAAATGGTACTTTTCCATTTTTCATTTTCCCCTAATTTTGATAATGAAGTGGAAATTTTAAAAAATTTAATTAATTTTTTAATTGCCACGTCACACATTTAACAGTCAACTTTGACAGTTGACTGTCACCTAGGATGAAGTTAACGGAGACGAAGAGTGACCAAACGTGAACGTTTTTAATAATTCCAGTGACCACGAATGGAATTAAATATTTGTAGTGACCAAACGTGAATGTTTTTAATAATTCCAGTGGCCAATCTTGCAATTAACCCTTATTTAAATAGGTCAGTTCTACCTTTTTAACTCCATAGAACGTTAACTAAGACACTGCAAACCGTATTTTCCAATCCACAAGAGACGACAACAGCTTTTATGTGCAACAAACAGAAAGGTAGGCTGCTTCTATGAAGAAATACCAGAAAACAGGAGAAGTACAACAGAACGGCAGAGGAATGCCATCAACCGCCGGATGTAGAGTCAGAAGTTGAGACTTGCTCATACATAGTTTCGATAGACTGTCCCGCGCCTGTGCATTTGAGCAGTTGGATGTCTTGCTCTATCGCTGCATAGGAACCTGGAGGATGCCAGTGACATTCTTGAACTGAGCATTGAAGGACTGTTCTTGATGCACAAAGGGATGCCTCGAACTGTTCGTGTCCGACCGGTCTAAAGAAATTCAGCCCGTTGGCACTGCCTTCTTGGAGCTGCATCTTCCTTTTCTGCACCTCTTCTCTCACTCTCTGCAAGCACAAAACAGATCTCTAGCAAATACTGATGGGAAGGGGCAAAAGAGACCAAGTACAAATCGGGAGTTCGACGAAACACAAGGAAAGAGAGGATCAAAGAACATCCCACAAACATGTCCAGCTAGTGACCCTAGAAAACATCAGAGACTAACCCTACAAAACAGGTTTTGGAAATTGAGATACAACAAGTTCAACTCAAAATCGTCATTTGTAGCAAGGAGGGAAGTGGGGTTATAGATGTCCATTTAGGATTATGCATATATCTATTCTACCTCATATGCATAATTGGAGGACAAACTTTGTCGTAAAGCCTCGGTCGCCACAGGCAAACTACTGCCTTCATCTACATCTAAGTGACCTTCAGACACACAAAGCTATGATGCAACGGTCAATCCAGAAACTTATTAGCTTTCAATCATCCATTCGGTACGACATGAGATACTTATAGAGCATAGAACAACCACGCAGAGTCACCTCGCACTAACAAAGACTGCCACTCTGCAGGTCCAAAAGGCATCAAAATTCTCAAGCACCATCCCTGGAGTCATTTTCTTCTTATCTGTGGCATTTGCCCTAAAGGAGAAATGCTGCACTAGAATCCTCTTATATTCACTAGGGGAGGCAAACTTACGCACCGATTTTCGACAGGAACAATTACCAAATATTTAAAGATCAACATCTAGTCACGAATTGCCATGTTCATATGTTGTTGCTAAACCAAAAGTTGTCCCAGGCTGTGATGTTGATGGGGGTTGATAGGTCCAAGGTACTGGCAGGGCACGTTTCAGGGCTAGTTTCTTCTGGTTTGGATCAGTTGCAAACAAATTCCCAATCTAATTCTTGATAATTCTCAAACTTTCACATAACAAGTTCATATCAAATCGAAGAACAACCGACAGAACACTATCAGTAAATGTGGTAAGGAACCAACCTGCGTTACCCTAGCGGAGAACCGTGGCAATCCAATTTGCTCAACAGTAAGTGCACCAAAGAAGTTCCCCAACAAGGCAGCATCAGGAACAGCCAAGCCATGAACCAAGCCGGCCACAAATCCACCCAAATAGCTATCCCCTGCACCCGTCGGATCCTTCTGGCTGGCCAGGAATGGCGAAATCTTGGTATTCCCATCTTTCGAATACACAGTACACCCATCTTTCCCATTCGTCACCACCACGCAACACAATTTCCTCACCTCCTCCAGGTCCAAGAACAGGGCCTCCTCCGATGAAACCTTCAGAACCCCAATCAGCGGCAGCAGCCGAAAGAACCCCGTCTCCCGCAGCTTCACCAGCTTCACCGTTCCATCCACCTCATCGAAATCCCTGATCAACGCCTGGACATCGACGAACACCAAATCGCAGATCTGGATCATCTTCTCCAGCGTCTCCGGCAACACCTCCCCGCCAACCCCAACCGCCATTCCAAACGCGAACTTCGCCTCGGGAAGATCCGCCGGGAGAATCGGGTCGCACGAACAAACCCTTTTCAACACCCGGTCGGGGCGCCCGCTCCCTGGCGGACCCGAATCGAAGTAGGCGTGGAAGACGGTGGTTCTGGCGCCCGGGGAGACGATGGGAGGGTGATTAACCGGGTACCGGAAATCATCGCCGACCTTTGAGATCAACATGCAAGGGATTGACATTTCGTTGAAGATGTTGGATATGAAGGAAGCGGCGCCGCCGAGGGATTCGGCCTTGACGGCGGAGTCATGAATCAAAAGGTCGTGGCAGTAGTTGCCGACGATGAGAACGTCGCCGGGTGAAGGGGGCTGGGTAGAGGTAACCATTGCGAGGATGAAAGAGAATTGTGGCGGATTGAGGGGTCATGACATGAGTACATAGACGGCAAAGGGATGGGGGATCTTGTAGAGGTAAAGCTTATATTCGTTCTCTCCACAGAACGTGAATTCTCGCCATTCCACCGCCGGCTTCTTTATATGGTAAAATGCTGGCCGGGATGGGAAATCAGGCCCGCCGTTGTTTGCCGTTCAGCTATGGGTATTGCAAACGAAAAATCGATGGCGAGGCCGTCGAAATTGGTCGGAGTGGGAGAATTAGACGGACGAGCAGGGGAAAATTGTATGTTTGTGGGCTTTCCGGCTGTGGGGAATATTGTGTTACAGAAATTTTTGTTTAAATAAAGTGATAAAAACCATGAGTTTTTGTTCTTGGAGTGGGTTAAATTCCCAAAATATTTTTATTTATTTATCATCAATATGGTGGTTCTAAATATATTTACACAGATATTGTGTTTTTTGAGAAGAAGAGTAAATTTGCATCAGATTGACGCGGACCCGCTACAATTGTATTTTGACGTAAAATGGGCGGGCCCGCGTGGAACTGGTGCGGCCCGCGTGAGACTGGTGCGGAGACGCTGGGGTCTTTTTAAGTGTGCTGACAGATTCACTAAACTTTGACCAGCGGACCAGCATTAGTCTCATGCGGATTCGCGCTGTGTTTTACCCCACTCCAGCATATATATCTTCCTCCATTCTCCTCCTTTCAGTATCACCACACCAAAAACTTATACGAAAACAAGAGGGAGGAGCTCTGCTGGTTGCTACAAAGATGGCTAGGTAAGAGACACATTTATTTTTATAATTATATTATTAAAATGCTATTATAATTTTCTTTAGTTAGTAATTAGTGAATTTGTTTGTTATGTAGTGATTTTAGGAAATTGGAACTAATTGTTTGGTGGAAATCGGAGAAAGTAGAGAACAATTTCGGCGTTCATTTCGCTGGTGGTAGAAGGTTTCAGTTGACAGTTCCATGTCGGGTGACATATCATCAATTTTGTGAGAATCTAATCTCGAGAATACGGCGTAGAGACGAAGCAGTACAAGATAGTGATATGATCACAGGTTTCACTTACCGTCTTCCAGAATGGCAGAATGGTGTTCTATTTCATTATGCGATGCCTATTGTGGATGATGATGGTTTGAATGTGCTTTTCGATTTTATGGCACAAAATCCTTATTGTTTGGGTGCTGAGGTACATGCTGAGATTAGCCAGGCTGATCAGGGTGAAGATGATACATGGAGTGTGCCATCTGGCCATGATTACGAGGAGGAGGAGGAGGAGGAAGATGGGGAAGAAGAGCAGCATAACTTTCCTCCATATTTTTACTTGCAGGCTACTGAAGAGGATGATGAATTATCATATGTTGATTCATATGGGGTAATTCCATGAGCCCTTCCTCTAACGTTGTACCATAAAGTTAAAAGTACAATTTCAAGTTGTACCACAACAGGAAAAACTAAAGCACCTATACTTTAGAGTATAGTAAAATTCCTCTAATTCCAATGCCTATTGTTACTGGTTTTGAAGGAGAATTCTACAAGGGTCAGATATTTCACTCGAAACAAGCTGCACAGGTGGCGGTTAAACACCACGCACTACAACGCAACTTTCAGTATGGCGTGGTGGAGTTGTCACCTTCAATCTGGAAGGTTAAATGCTTGAAGCATAAGGATGACAATTGTCCTTGGATGGTGTGGTTTGGATGTCGAGACGTTGGAAGCGAATGGACTGTGAGAAAGGCCGAGTTGGTGCATTCTTGTAGTAGTACGACTCAACCGACAGATCATCGCCATCTTGATGTCGACGTTATATCTGAGTCCGTGAAACATTTGGTACGTGCCCAACCTAATCTCAGTGTTCTAACTATGCAAGCCGAGATGAAAGATAAATTTAATATGCAAGTTACTTATAAGTAGGCTTGGTATCGGAAACAAAGAGCATTGAAGAAGTTGTATGGAAATTGGGAAGACTCCTATGATTATTTGCAAACATTCTTGCGGGTGGTAAAGAGAAAAATGCCAACATCAGTTATTGATTGGGTAAGAGTTCCTTCAGCTCAACCAGGTCATTCGATCTTTCAGCGAGTATTCTGCGCTTATGGACCTTGCATAGATGGATTCAAGAATTGTCCAGGAGTCATGGTTGTTGATGGAACATTTCTTACTGGAAAGTATAAAGGAGTGCTACTCATGGCGAGCTCATTTGATGGCCGGAAGAAGATTTTTCCAATATCATTTGCCATCGTGGAGAGCGAGAATACTGAAAGTTGGCCATGGTTTATAAATCACATTCAAGGTTTGATCGATCGAAATGACGTATGCATCATCTCAGATAGACATGAGGACTCTATGAAGCCATGGGTGACATTGGAAGAGGTTGGGAGTGGAGGTGGTGCATGAGACACTATGCAAGCAACTTGAAAAAGAAGACAAAGAGCAAAATTATGTATAACCAACTGGTTCGAGTCGGTAAGTCTCTTCATCGTTATTGTTATTGATTTTCGACGCATTATTTATTTTAATTTAATATTATCATGAATTTTTCTAACTTTTGTGGTTATTTATTTTGTTAGCCCGAGAAAAACGCTTGGAGAAGTTCGATCGTCAAGTTGAGCAATTTAAGAAGATGACCGCTGAAAGAAATATTTCTTGTGATAACTGGGTGGATCAAAATCAACTTCGTTGGAGCTTAGCACATGATAACTAGTGGGACTCGATGGTCTATAATTACGACCAACATGGGAGAGAGCATCAATGGTGTTTTCAAAGGTATTCGTTCACTTCCTATAGCTTCTCTTGTGCAACATACTTACTGGCGATTATTGGAGAAATTCGATAAAATGAGGTTCGAGACAGAAGCACAAATCAGAAGTGGGAAGTCACAGTACACTCAACCATGTGAAGATCTGATGAAGTCGTGGGCGCAAAAGGCAGTTGGACATTCCGTGACAGGAGTTGATTGACGTCAGGGTATCTATGTGGTTCAGACTCCTCCCAACAATTTCAACATGACGGGTTCGAACACACTCACAGTGCATTTCGATGGCCACAATCGAGCGGGATTTTGCACTTGTGGAAAATTCCAAGGAAATAAAATTCCTTGCTCTCATGCCATTGCAGCTTGCAACCGAATGGGGGCTAACTCGTATAGGTTTGTAAACATCTATAATCTTGAAACAGTGTTGGCTTGTTATGGGACAAGTTTCACACCTCTTGGTGAACCTAAGGGGTGGAAGAAGCACAATGGCTCTACTCTCCATCCTAACGTGCACATGATTAGAAAACTGGGGAGGCCACGAACAACAAGAATTCACAACGAGATGGATTGGCCAAGAGAGGAACTAGGTGGACCTGATGAATCAACTTCTGGTGGAGGAGCTAGTGGCAGTGAGAGCCAGCGAAGAGAAAGTGGTAGACGTGCGAGAGGTGGTAGAAGAGGAAGTAGTGGTAATAGACGTGGTATGTAATTGGTTGATGTTGTTATGGTTAGAACGTCCGAGTGTGTTATTGTTTGATGTTTGTTATTGTTTTTCGACGTATTTGTAATGGGTTGATGTTGTTATGGTTTGAACGATCGAGTTTGTAATTGTTTGATGTTTGTTATAGTCCACCATACATGACAATAATAGTAAAATAAATAATCCACCATAATACATAATAATACTACATGACATGAGTCTGAGAGTCCACCAAAATACATAATAATACTACATGACATGAAATAATAGTCCACCATAATACATAATAATACTAACGACCACCACGAGGATCCACAAGATGACCGCCAGTACCACATAACGGTGCATGTCTGTCCTGTACTAGCCTGCCCTAATCATGCTGAGACTGATCTCCTTCATCCTGATCCTGTGTACCGAACAAACCATCTATCTGAGACCGGGGATGCTCGTCTGGTGCATCTGGAGTAAAACCTTGCCCCCGAAGCTGCTGCTCATTGGGCCACATCTGGTCCAAGAAATTATCGTCCCCCTCTATGGTGTCTCTCCATCTATAGGGTGAGGCTGCTCTTGGTGATGCTGCTCTGGGTGAGGATGTGTATCTGCCACCCATCATAACATGCTGCGGCGGTGTATGAAAGCTATCGGCTGGTGGCTGAAATCCCGAAGGCTGAAACTGCGGCTGAGAGGGCTGAAACTGGGTCTGAGTCTGAGAAGGCTGAAACTGGGTCCGAGAAGGCTGAAACCCATAAGAACACTCCCCATGAAACTGCGACTGGGAGGGCTGAAACTGCGGCTGAGAAGGCTGAAACCCCGCAGAAGAGGACGGAAACTGCGGCATGAAGTCGAAGGAAGTAGTAGGCCGGACAGGACGTGCTCGCTGACGATCTGAAATCCTAACTGGGTGAGGTACGTAGCAGTGCTCACGTAACTGTCTGCGCCTCCTGGGCTCCTGTGTTAACTATGGTCCTCGCACGTCCCACTCATGTCTCTGAGCAGTACGCTCTGGCCAACTAGCAACGCTGCTCTCAGATGGCTGCCACTGCACCGGTACCGTTATATCATGATGTCGGCGAGAATCCAAACCTAGAGCAGCAACCCCGGCCACCATCATGTCGGCCAACTCCATCCTATCGTTTGTGGACAACTCTCCTTCCCGTAATCTCAGCTCAGCGAACTCAAAGGTGTCGTACTGCAAAATTTATTTAATATATCAAATATTCCACACAACTATGAATTTCAATCAACTAAGTATATGACATAGTAGCTATATACTCATTTCAACGACTCCACAAATCAATCGACTCTCAAGAGGCGTGCATCAACCGTTGCCCTCGCAATGGCCCACGAACAGTCTGGCGAAGAAATCACCTAATCTCAGCCTCAGGAGTTGGATGATGAGGCTCGTTCTACATCATGCCAAACTGTCGGAGTACACAATCTGGATGGTGCCACATCACTACTGAAAAGCAGATTAGTGGAACCACTACTCAAAAGGTATCTGACTGTGGCACACAGAACCCCTAAACTGCTCGCCTCTCTCCTAGTAAGGCATCCACTACACACAACAGGTGGGCACATTATTACTGAATAGTCTAAAAAAACTAATATGAACTATGAACTATTTTTGTATGAAATGTTATTACTAACCACGATTGTCGACAGCAAGTCAAAAAACAACTTATAACTGAAGAGCTGGTCACCATGCTGACGGGACATGGTCGGAAGCCATCGAGCACCATGTGGATATGCGTCCTCTGTGATAGGCTCATCCGTCACTGTATGTCGTGGTGCTATCACTGAGAATCGCTCCCACGCCCAGAGCTGCAGCAAGGCGACCCAGCCACCAAGGTCACCTCCGGTGGAAGAGGACTGTGTCATATGCAGAACCGACCTACCCATCTCACGGTACAGGTAGGCTAGAACAGCTGCTTCCCAAGCGTAGCATCCAGCGCTCCGCCAATTCTCCAACAGTAGTAGATACTGCAGATGAACTGTAGCTCCAGTCCGATCGGGGAACAAGATACACCCCATCAAAGATAAGGCATACGCTCGTGCAAACTGCCAAGTAATCTCTAATGATGCATTTGGCGGCAGATTGTTGAAATTCTCCCTAAGCCAACTAATCCTAACGATACCCCCGTTAAGATCGTTAGGAGCATGTCCTAACAATCTGATACAGGTCTCCAACCACTCTCGATCCGGTACGTCTACTATGACGGTCTCACCGTCGATCGGTAGACCGCTCAGTGTGCAACGTCCTCAAGAGTAATCGTAACCTCACCAACCGGCATGTGGAAGGTCGATGTATCAGGACGCCAACGCTCTACGAGAGTAGTGATCAAAGATGCATCAATACAACCAGTCATAGAGACCAACTGTTGAACGCTAAACAAACCGGCATCCTGGAGATACGGCTCATAACATGGATGGTACGTGACCAAATGGGTCGTACCTCGAGTATGGTAAACGCGATCACCAACCTATAGTGCACAAAACTTATATTAATTCAATTTCATGGCGTAATTCTATTTTCAGATCATATTTTAAAATCTATCTAATTTAGTAAAATATATATAATCAAAACTAATACTAATTTCACAAATTTCACATGCAATTCTAATATTTCAGTTTAGTTCACCTAGTAAAATCTATCTAATCAAACTTATACTAATTTCACAAAATTCTAATCTAACTAGTTAATGAACTTTAATGAAATAAAATACTTACCTCGTTTTGCCAAACTGAGACGGCACGATGTTGACCATGTGCCCAAAGAAGTACAGAATCAACCGGAGCTGCATCAATCGTCGCAGGTGGTCGTCTCGTGGAATAAGTGTCAAGAATCCTAGGAACTGCAAAAAAAAAAAATAGAAGCGGGAAAAAAACCCGCCTGCGGCGAGCTTCCGACGGTGACTCGCTCACCTCGATATCAGCCACGTGCCTGCCGTCCTCTTCCTCCGGCGGCCACCTGTTCTTCGTCGGAGTCCGACATCAAAACCAGAAAACAGATCTGGTTTTCTTCCGCCTCTTCCCTCATGCGCGCTTCCGCGCGAGACTGGTCTCCTCCCGCAGCTGTCGACGGCGACCTCGCATGAGACAGGCTTGAGACGCGGTGTTTTGGAGCGGGCTCGCAGGGCGGCGGCACGGCGCAGCGTAGGTTTTGGGGCGGGAGAGGTGTGTTGGTGGTGGTGGTCTACTGCGGGAGGTTGGGGAATGAGGAGATAAGGGTAAAGAAATAGGCCAATGCGAGCCTGCATAAGACTCGCGCGGGTCCGCACTGCCGATGCGAGCACGCATAAGTCTCGCGTGGGTCCGCACTGAGCTGGTGTGAATTCGCATTTCAAACGGCTCGTTTTGAGTCTCATGCGGAAACGCATGTCTTCCCCCATAAAAACACAATATCTGTGTCAATTAAATGAAAATCACCATATTGGTGGTAAATAAAAAAAATCCACATTATTTTAGGAATTTACCCGAGTGGATGCAGCTTCTTTTTCTTGGAGGTGACGTTGCACAGACACGCGTACACGTCAGTCACTGTTGGATGGGCTGGAAAAACATATAAAATTGTTTTGAAAAGCTATGGAGTAGTCCAGTTAAGAATGATTTGTTTTGTGTGATGATATGTATATCATGAGATTTTGATCTCTTTTATCAGGTTGGGTTTAGATCGTGGTTTATTGGATTATGGGTCGTCTGATTCATAGATTTGAAAATTGAAGATTTTGGGTAAACCTGGATTTTGGAAAATCATAGATATATGTTGGATTTGGTGGAATTATAAATTTGAGCAAGAATATTGTTTGCTTGTTGGATTTGATTATGAATTTTATTTAATTAGATTTGTAGATATGAAATACAAATTATCTTGTTACCTTATTTAATATTATTTCTATATGATAATCCAAAATTTTCATTAAAAACAAATCCAATACATACAAAGAAATTTTAAACTCTTTATCACTATGTGTGGACTAATAATTCAACTAAAAATATAGAAATGTATAATAATTTGCCACTAATTAACTATTCATCTAATAATATACGCAATATTATGTCGGTTGCAACTTGCAACCAGTTGCTCGCCTTATTGTTATAACTTATCATCTTCTTACTAACTCCTCGATTTTGGAATCCGATAGTCAATCAAATAATAATACACAAGATGAGCATAAGGTGTTTATAGTTGAATCTAACAAATCACATGTACATTCATATTTAAATAAAATAAATACGACATTACAAACGAAATGATAAACTCTCATTCTTATATTTATAAAATACAACATTACAAAAGTTTATAGTTGCATAACCATTAAAATAAAATAGGACAAATTTATAATTAAGAAAGGGAAGAATAGTAAATTATCATCATGGATTTTTATCCATCACCCAAATTCCACCTCAAAAGGTGAAACTTCCAAATTCGTGGGATCCACGGATTTGAACACTCAAAGTCCGTGGGCCCACAGATTTTATCCTCCTAATTCCTTAATTAAGGGTTTTAATGATTGATTTGGCCATGGATCTGTTTGAGGGTTTATATGCTTTAATTATGATGATTTAATATAGGTTAATTACTCAAATTATCTGCTTAAATTATGTAGGTTAATTATCTGCTTTAAATATGTTAATATTTAATATATACGAAAATTATGTCGGTTAATGTTTTCATTTAATTGAAATTATATAGGAAAGGTAAATTTTAATTGATAAATATAAGAAATTTTAATAATTTAAATATAGAATTTTATTTCATGAAAAGTATTAATTGTTGTACGAACCTTAAATTGCAATTGACAATTTAAGCAAGAAAATTAAGTTAGAATTTATCGTGAAATATATTACAATTTCGAACATTATATTGTGATGGGAATTTTATTGTAATTGAAATTATATACAAATGTTAAATTATAATAGACAATTTAAGCAAGAAAATTAAGTTAGAATTTATCGTGAAATACATTATAATTTCGAACATTATATTGTGATGGGAATTTTATTGTAATTGAAATTATATACGAATGTTAAATTATAATAGAGAAATATAGGAACCTTGAACATTTGAATATAAAAATTTATTATATGAGAACTAGCTAATATGAACATTGCTAATAACTATTACATGATGATAATAATTTGAGAATAATTTTAATTCAAATTTTAATAGGTAGAAAATGGTGGATACAAGAGGAAAGAAGAAGATGAAGGAGGTAGAGCCGTCGAGGGTGACCAACCGTATAGTATTGAGGTCGCGTCGTGAGGAAGCCGAGAATGAGCGTCGACGTGCTAGATTTGTGGAGAATCCTTCTCCCCCGCCTCCCGTGCATTTTGACTTAGATAGAGCTTTTGAGGGAGTGGATGAGTATGATGGCAGTGATGACAATTATGATGACCTCCCGGATTGTGATTGTCCTTCACACCATCAATCATCCAAGTGTTATCCTCCGGGAGTCCCACCAGTCTCACTCGAAAACGACAACCATCTTCAAGTGACTTTGTGTTGGATCGTCCTTTCTTATCCGGGTCCGGGACATATGTATTGTTCTTATATCCACGATGGCAGTGAAGATATATTCGGGGGTACTTCTCGCCATCATTTGATTTGGTTGATGAATGTGTCAAAAAGAAACCAAGATCTTTTGCAATCACTTTCGCAGCTTCCATAGCTTCATTCCATGACTTATATCTTGTATTTGTTATGAAAAATTGAGTATAATCAACTTTGTCTCCCTTATCTTTCGGATCTCCCTAAAATAAACACATTTATCTTATTAGTGATACTAATTTTGAAATGTTTGTTGTAGATTAAATTATTCCAATTTGATATAGATTGATGTCTTACATAAGTTTCAACACTTTTCACGACTTGTAATGTTTGTTGTAAATTGAATTCTTACAATTTGAAATGGATTGAGTCTTATGTAAGTTTTAGAAAATTTGATGGCTTGTTTGCAATATTAGATTTTATATTTATCTTCTTATTAAAAAATATTAAACACGTTATCAACAATTATTCAATATTCAAACATAAACTAATCCAATACATTTTCAACAAAAAATTAGCACATTTATCATGATTAACTACCAAATCCTAATATTTCAACATGCAATTAACAAGTAGACACGTACTAATTAAATTATCAACAACACAACGTTGTTAACAATTATTCAATATTCGAACATAAACTAATCCAATACATTTTCAACAAAATATTAGCACATTTAGCATGATTAACTACCAAATCTTAATATTTCAACATGCAATAAAAAAGTTTTTAACAAGTAGACACGTACTAATTAAATTAGCAACAAGACAGCAAACCCGAACCCGCCCCAACCCGGTCAATAGCCATCGGGTTTAAACCCGAACCCGGCCCGAACTCGGTCAACACGGATTTTACCCGAGTTGACCGGATTGGGTTGGGTCGGGTACCCACGGGTCCGGCGGAGGTGGCGGTCGCCGGCGGGAGGTGGCAGTCGCCAGTGGCGAGTATTGTAGGATTGTGTTTGGAAAAAGTGTTTGAATTTTTTGGTCTTGGAATGTGTGAACTAAATGTATTTAAATGTGATGGATATTATTGTACTTTTTATAATTTAGGACTACAAATAAAGACAATTTAGGGCTACAAATAGTACGCCCTTTTGAAAATGGTTGGTGGAGCTAGTATTTGTGTTTGTATATTTTATTTGTGATTATGAAGAAAATTAATTTGGTATTTAGTATATATTGATACCGAATAAAATTTTAGGAATTGGAATTGAGATACCGAATTTATTTTGAGATAGATTGAGATTGAGTTAAGGGTACTATTTGATATTCGGAATTTTGGTAGTAAGTATTAGAATACCGATACCGATTTCTACCCTAAGACCAGGTCTATCGTTGTCTGAGGTATCGTTGTCTGAGGTATATTGGTCCTTAAAATATCACTTTGAAGTTTTTATTAATTATATCTATCTCAAAATTATTTCACTTGCATTTTGGACATGATCATAATAGACAATATAATTCTGGAATCGGACTGCTG